CCGTGGACCTGGGTTCGAAACTGGTTAACCTTTATTTTTGTGGATTTTTCGTTTTACTGTGGGGATGGGGGAAGGGTATTTTGGTAATTGCTCAAAAACGCGGTGGCGCGGCCGCGTAATTAGAACGAAACCCTAAGGGCAATTTAGTCTTTTTGAACGATGGGGTATATATAGTCTCTAAAAACCCTACCAAGCGGCCGCCCCTCTCTCGTCTCTCTCACCTCTCTCGATCCTTCCACTCTCTTCTGGAGAAGCAAAACCCTTCCCATCATCTAATACCACCGCCGCTCTACCTCTCTTCCCTCCTTGCGAAACCCTAACCGACGCCGCTCTAAGCCTCTCGCCTCGTCTCTTTTCGCCCCGTCCGAGCTACTAGGTCGACGATGACGGCGACATGCGCCGCCGGTGATGATAAGAACCGAGTTCTGAAGGTTTGTTTCCCCTTTTTATTTTGCGATTTCCACTGTCTTTAGATTTGATTTTTTAAGGTTTTCAAGTTTCTAATCCTTATTGTGTTTTATTTCCGGAAAACTAAACCGAGAATGAGATGGGACCCTCGATCTATCTTCCCTTTCGTACTCTCTTTCGCAGAAACGACGAGGATGATGAAGAGATCTGGGTAAGATTTTGTTTGCATGTAGGCTTTCTTTTGTTTTTTTTTATATATTTCAAAATCCGCATTCTGATTATTTTGTTGTTTTGTCTCGGATCTTCGCCGCGAGACGGAAGGGAAAGGCGGCGGTCGCCGGCGGCGCGGCCTGCGCCAGAGCCGATGGCGAGGGTCTGGTTTTGGGTAGGTTATTATTATTTTCTATTTTCGTTATTATGGGTAATTTTATTAACATTATTTTTGGATTCTGATCTAGGGTTCTTTTTTTTTTTTTTACAGATCCCTACGATTTAAAGAGACCAACAGGTGATACTCTTCCTAACTTATGACTAATGGATTGGTTATTGTGGCTAGGATTTTATCTATTAATTTCTGTGGTGTTAAGAAAACAGAGTTTTGGTTCGTACCCCTGTTGGGCTCATTCGGCTTTAATATTTGGTTTTGGATTTGTTGAAAACGAAAGCTTGCTTTATTAGATTCTAGTGTCTATAATGATCCTAGCATAATATGAGGTCAAAGCTACTGCTTATGACCACCATATTGGTGGGAAGCTTTCTTCTAAATTGGGATTTGGTTATATGATTGATTAAAAAAACTGGTATGAATTGGTAAAATCTGAAATTTTCAATAGCATCAGAGCTTTTATGGTGTTAGGCGTGCGAAAATATAACAACTAAAAAGAGAAGTTTGTAATTACCAAAAGTTGGTAACTGGGTCGAAAGGGGGGTGCCCTTAAACACAAAAAGAGGTATTTTAAAATACTATCCCAAGGGTCTGATTTGAATTCTTTTTTGTTTTGAATGGATTGTTAGATCATCTTTACTGCGCTTTAGGTTACTAATGTTATTTGTATGTGAAAGAGCTGGTGGACTAACCTAGCTGATTAGAGAACTAAGTTTAGCTAGCAACTTAAAATGAATTATGCTCGCTAGAAAAACTTGAAACGATCCAATAGGATTCATGGCACGCTAGTGATAGCTAAGAAGCTGCCTAACATAGCATGTAATGAAATAGATGAACGGAGCAAAGAGACAGACAATTATCACAGTCAAAATTTCTCAAAGCTACTTTGATTTAAAACTGAGCACAAAGACAATACACATCAAAACTGTCGAATTTTATGAAGGACTATTTCATACATCTATCGATTATAAAATAAGGACATCATTATATAATCATATTGGATGAGTTTCCATCTCTACATGGATGTATTGATGAATATATGCTTGTGCGATTGCTGAGATGAGGAAGCACCAACCTGTCTTCTTTGTCGTTTGGTGTTTGATGGCGATGGCCTCTTGTTGTCTTTGCCCCCCCCCCCCTTTTGTACTTCTTAGTGCTTCTTGTCTGCCCTTTAGTGTTTCTTGTCTGCCCTTTCGTGTTTAATGCCCTGTCTGTCTTTTTAGTGCTTTCGTTCTTTTTTCTCTGTCTTTCTCCCAAAATTCTCCCCTGCCTCTGTTTGGGGTAAGAAAACCCCCTTATATATGATCACTTTTTACTGTTCATCATTGTGTGCTGGCTGCTCCTCCTTTGCTCTTGAGGTGGTTGTCTGAACCAACTTTTGTGTTGGCAATTTGGTGTTGGTTCTTTGGAGGAGGTGGCCGAATTCCTCTTTTTGAGATGGCAGTAATTTCTGCTACCCTACTACTCTACTACTCTGCTGTTCGGCGGTTCTGCTGTTCTTGTAGATAAGATAAGGATGATGGGTTTGGTTGACCGGGTCGGCCAGAGCTAACCCGGTCGACCCGAGTTGACTGGCTCGACCAGAGTTGACCCGGGTTGACCAGAGTTAATTGGGCTGAGATATGGACCTGGATTGTGGGTTTTTGTTTTGGGATGCCCTTCTAACACTTCTTTTTTTCTTTGCAGGTCTCTGGTCTGGCCCAAAATGATGACCTAAGGAGGCCCAAATAGCCTCAAAAGGCTAGGCCTCTAATTCTGATTGGTGCCACCAAAAGCAGAATTTTTTTTTTTTTTTTTAAATGTATAATTACAAGGTGTATCTTAAATGTCACAGATTGTAATTTGTAATTACACATTTGTTTATTTATGTCCTTGCCTTTAGAATTAGATGATCATTGTATGTATTACTCAATCATTCAATTGATTATTTCAAACCAATTCGTTAACTACAATCGTGACCAATATCCCAACTTCTAAGTAAATAATTCTTAGTTATGATTCGTGACCAATACCCCATTCAACCAATTTCAGACCTATATCACCAATCGTTAACAATAATACCGGTATAAGTCGTGACGGCATACTATTGCTATTCTAAATAAAGCGAATTTGGTAGCCATTAGCTACTGCTAATCCTACCTAGTACAAATATTCGAAATGAATAGAGAGAAAGACTTGGAAATCGTTGGTATTTATTGATTCGCCACCGCTAATCTCAACCAACCTTATCTAAACTTTCGCTTGGGTTTTCTTTTTGCATTTTAAAAAGGATATTCTTCCGAGTTCTAAGTAGGATGGTTGCTTCGGACAAAATGTGGTGTATACAATAAGGAAGTATAATTACATTACTAATCGAAAAAGAACCAGAAACTACCAAAAACACGAAATCCTAATTGAACAAGGAAAATAAATGATGTTTTTACAAGGCAGATTTTTGTGATTTTGTACGATCTTTGAGCCCTTCGTTCGAAGCTTTTCAGATATCCATTTCTTCATCCAATGCCTTGACTTTGTAGACAAACATACCTACTTTCATGTGGTAGAAGCATATGCACTCGACTCTCATCCATGCTTCTCAAATTGAGCATCAAAGTTGGTTTCACAATCACGTTTCCAGACTTGGCCATTTTCAAGTAGTTTTCCTGTTTTGAGATAGCAACTTGAAGGCTTTAGAAAATGACCTTAATGACTTGTCCCGTAAGATAAAAAATAAGACTTTTAGTAAGGAAAAAATATTTGACGTTGTAGGGAAGAGAAGGAATTAACCCAACTTAGAGATTTTTCTGCATTTAAAATTTTGTATTAAGAATAGTAAAACAAAAAACCCATTTTGATATCTATTTGGTTAAAAATTGTTTCGTAGCCTACCTAGTTAACTATGCTAATTAATTAATCCAGAGTCCGAAACTCGATTTGAACAATTTTCACTGTCTATCATTTTGAGACAGACGAAGCGGGGTAATTTCGTAACATAACAAAAATTCGGTGGCGTGTTGGTAATATGCGGAAAACCCTGTGGGTATTGTATATATCAGTGTTGTCGAAACCGGACCGGACAACGATCCGTAAGCATATAAAATTTTCAAATCTCTACAAATTAATACTTTAAATTGAAAATTCTTTACCTTATTTTTGAAGAATGTAGTATTGAAATGTTAATCATAGTAGTAATAAATAATGACTTTTGGCTTTTTGGAGTTTGACCGTGAAGTTGGTCAATTCATAAATTAAATGGAGAAATTGAGAATAAGAGGGAAGTAAATAAAGTGATGATTTGAATAAAAATTAATTAAATGAACAAAATGAAATGTTGTATACTTGTCTTTATTAGAAATACAAGGCTTGTTTGGGGAGGAATTAAGGAGAAGAAGAGGAAAGGAAACGTGATTGACCATTGGGGAAAGTGAAAAAAAATATACAGCACAAAAAAGAAGAGTAAAAATGGGTTGGAAGGATTTATTGTGGTTTAAAAAAGGAAAAGAATCCTTTTCAATTTCATATTTCGGTTTAGCACAAAGAAAGGTTATAATTACAAACCGTCGGTTCGGGTTTGACGGTTCTGTCGGTTAACCGGATGAATCGGCTTATTCGGCCGTCCAATTTCCTTATCGTTTAATGAAAATCGGACCTGGATGAGTGCCCGAAACCGGGTAACCGAACCGGCCGGTCCGGTTGTAATAAAAATGGTATATATATACCTCCAAGACCTAACACTCTGTTTGGCAACAAGGGGGGTGCAAATTGCAGGGGGGTGCAAGTTGAGGGGTAAATTGTTGGGGGTACAAATTGCTGGGGGGGTGTTAGTGGAGGGGTAAATTGTTGTTTGGATGAAAAAGTAGGGGGGTGCAAAATGATGTAAAAAAAGGGTTTTAGATTATTATATATTAAGAGTAAATATAATAATATGAATGTTGTATTATACTTATGGTATCTTACTAGTGATACTTATCACTAATACGTATCTCATGAACACCAATCCTTTATGAATAATCATAACAATTATTATATAAAAAATAATTACTAATTATGTGACTTAATACAGGTAGCTAGCTCATGTCATGGATTTCAACATTGATTTGTCAACATAAGGGTTAAAATAACTTAAATAAAAATTAAATTCTTATTTATTATAATAGTTTCTAAATTTTTAGTTCATTTTATCCAACCATACTATAAATAAAAATATTTTTTAATTTTTTTCCCTACTTCCTCCCAGCCGATCTCCCCTTCCCTCCAATCCAACCCCTTTTCTCTCCCCGGTCCCACCCAAAACTTCCTTCTCCCCATTTACGCCCCAATTTGGGGGGCATGATCAAATAGTGAAATTGCACCTCTTTTCTACTCCCCCTACTGTTCATAAAGATCCAAATGGGTGCAATTTTATTGGGACTCCCATTTACCCCCCAACAAATGCACCCCCTTACATTTACCCCTCTAAACAAACATAGTGTAAATCAACCCTAAATACGAGCGGCCGCCCCCACCTCTTTCTCTCTCGTTTTTTTCTCTGCTCCCTCCTCCACAAAAACGACGACCACTAGCATCTCTCTTTTTCGTTCTTCTTTCCTGTCTCCTCCAGATCTGAAGCTGCAGTCTCTTCTTCTTCTCTTCGATTCACCTATCTCCCTCTCATTACTTCTGGAAACAAACAAGTAAACCAAGAGAATACTTTTGCCGGCGGCGACTGGAAGCCATCTTGTTTTCCTCCATTTTCTACCTCATTTTTATCATGGCCCTCTTCTGCCGCTTATCTGTGCTTCATCCCCTGTTTTTCCAGAGCAGGGCCGTGCGGTTTTGGCCGCAAGAAACGCACATTCGCATTCCGCGGGTTGAAAGTGAGTATCTTGGATGTGGGTTTTGGCTTTTATTGCTGAAAGATTAGGTCTTTTCTGCATGGTGGTCTGTTAGGTTTGGCTGATCATTGGGATTTTTCCTTTTCCCATTTTTATATTTTGGTTCTTTAATGTGGGTTTCGGTGTATGGTTGATCAGATGATGCTGCTGGTGTTTTGTATGTGCATGGTTTCATTGTGCAGCTGTGCCTGAATTGATCGTCTGTTGATGTGCATGTTTGAGGTTTTGTAACTGAAAATGCTCTGAAGTTGAAGGTGAAAATTGAGGCTTTTTTGGAGCAATGTACTTATTTTTCCTTGATTGGCTTGGGGTTTTGATTGATTTTGTGAGTTTGTTGTTGTTCTTTTTGTTAGTTCACGTGCTATGTGATATATTTCTGGCTTTGATTTCTGATGAGTAGTAATTAATAGATCATATTCATTGTTACATGAAAAGTCTTTTGAAGTTCATCTGGAATGGTCTACATTACTGTTAAATCTATGCTTCTTTACTCTGAAAGTAATTTTCGGTCAGAGAAGCTGGAGTATTGTGAAAAGTGTTCCAGTATTTGATCAATGGGGGCCTGGTTTGGTGCTTCTCACTTCTTTTCCTCATCTTACTATTGTAGCCATAAGATTGAGTATAAGTTGAAGAGCATGATTCGATTGGTAACCTAGCTATTCTTTGAATCCTTTATTGTTTGATCTGAACTTTAATGGCTTGAAAGATAGGCAAATGTGCTTGTCTCATCCTTTTTTGATCAACTAGTTATTCAGAAATGATATTGGTGCTTCTCACTTCTTTTCCTCATCTTACTATTGTAGCCATAAGATTGAGTATAAGTTGAAGAGCATGATTCGATTGGTAACCTAGCTATTCTTTGAATCCTTTATTGTTTGATCTGAACTTTAATGGCTTGAAAGATAGGCAAATGTGCTTGTCTCATCTTTTTTGATCAACTAGTTATTCAGAAATGATATTGTGGTCTTCATAATCTTTGTAACATTATGGCCATCTTTTGTAACTGTATCACTACCATAAGACCCACGTTAAGGCTCTGCATGGTTTTGAACTGTAACTTGTTCTGTTTGTTTCAGTATACTACCTCTATTTTTGCAATATGAAAGAAAATGAGTAATTATCACGTTAGGTGACTTTTTACTCCCAGCTGATCTGATCGATCACTTGTGATGCTGGTTTGCATCATATGATCACGTTCTTCGGTTTTGGTGTAGAGGATCATTGCAGGATGCTTATTTGGTATATTAATATAAAATCAGTTGTGTACGGGTTGTATGTCTTTCCATGATTTACTCACACGTGTCAGTATGCGGAATCAGTTGATTGATTATTTTTTATTTTGGTCCGCCTTATGTTGGTAAATAGTGAATGCTCAATTTGGTATGCTTTTTAAAATAAGTGATGATACTTGTGTCTTTAATTTAAGTTCCATAATTTAATTCCACATTCCAGTATTCTTATGATTCGAGATGTGATTCACTGGTAGCATTTAGCTGTAACTGTCGGTAGAGGAAAATAACAAATTAATCGATCAGAAAATGGTGGGTGTAGATGAATGTAATCATATCTAGGTATATACTTGCCTGCTATGTGAAACCAATGTCAAGATAATTTGGTTTCATGTCTTATTTGGCGTAGTAATTTGCACAAAATTTACTGCATAACTTGTCAAGTATGGAAAATTTATCTAGATAGCTGATTTTATCTCTAAAATTCCCTATAGAAGTATTGATTGTCTAACTATGGGTAATGTTAACTTTCAAGATTGGTGTCATAATGATAAATATGGAGCAGAGCATAGGAACAGTTCTACATCTATTGATAAAACCGGACTGCTTCTAGATCACAATGTAGCAAACCTCAAAGTAGTTGGAATCTCTTGAAACAGAAACTTACTGTTACTGCTTTGACATTTTTCACTTTCCATGTGGCAACTTGATTAATTTGTAGGCTGCTTGACTATTTGAATAAGAAGGAAATTTCAAGTATAATGGAGGCTGATGCATCTGAGGTGCAACAGCCACCCTCTGCTGTCCTAAGAAGCATAACATTTGGCATTGCAACCAAGGATGAAAAGGTGAGCAAATATCTAGTTTTTTAATCATAATTAAGCTGCATGTGGTAGACAAAGTGCTAATGGTTATCAAAACCTTTTGTTCTAAATGCAACAGGAAAAACTTTCAGTTCTGGACATCACTACGACCAGTGAGGTCACTGACTCAAAATTAGGACTTCCGAATCATAGTTCTCAGTGCTCCACATGTGGTGCTAAAGATTTGAAATTTTGTGAAGGTTCAACAACTGCCTTTTAGTTAAATTTGTGAAAAACTTCTGCTCTGCCGATGCGTAATATTGCTATATTAAAATTTTGCAGGTCACTTCGGTGCTGTGAAATTTCCTACAAGAATTCTGAACCCGTATTTTATGTCCGAAGTTGTTCAAATTTTGAATAAAATTTGTCCGAGTTGCAAATCTGTCCGGCAAGATCTGGTGAAGGTATTGCATCTCATTGCTTTGCTTGAATATGTAGAATGCTTAGTTTTTTTGCCAGGCTTGGGCTAGTTAACTAACATTCGTGGTAGTTAGACCTCTCAGCCTTTTATGATGCTCAGGGAATGTAGAATATTCATTCTTTTTTGGAATGCTAATATCACCATGAAATCCTGTTAAGGACAGTGAGTCAATTTAGTTTTGTGCTCTTATTGAATTACCAGGATAAGCTTGTATGTCTCATTATGGTTGTCATTTACTTTTACTTTTTCCCCCTCGTAAACCTCGAGAAGAGGTACCAAATTAACAAATAATGTTGCCTTCAAAATTGGGACTTTCCTGTTTACCTCTGCTTTGTTAATTAGTTTATTTATTTGCTGCTTTGTACATGTACAGAAAAATGATCCGAGGCCTAAAGAAAATTTGAGCAAGGGCTGCAAGTACTGTGTGGTGAGTAATGTTTCCCCTTTCCCGCTCACAGTGGTACAGTCAGCTGTGCAGTTTCTAAAGTCATAAATTATATTTTTATCATTATGACAGAGGCAGGCATTGTCAATAGGATGGTATCCAAGAATGAAATTCAAAATTTACTCTGGGGAAATCTTGCGGAAAACAACAATCACGGTTGAAATTGGACAACGACCACCAACAAAGAAAGGGGTCAGAAAACCTTTGGCTCCTGACTTCTGGGATATTATCCCAAAGGATGAAGAACAAGATGAAAATGCTATTAAGCCAACTAAAAGGATTTTGACTCATGGACAGGTAGTGGTCATGTGTTCAATTATATGCAAATGCTTTTCCTTCTTCCTAGTGCTTTTGGGTTCCAAGTGTGCATGTCCAATCCAAGTTTTTATGTTGCTGACTCTGAGTTCCCCAGGTCACAAACTTCTAGGAACCTCTCTTTTATAGTTCTTCTCAAATATCTTCTGCTTGTATTATGGAATCATGATGTGTGAAACATAATTTTGAATTCGTGTAATATCACGAAGACTTGGTTTTGGTATATAGGACAGTAGAGCCATTAGATCCCTTCTTAAGACTTTCGTTTGTCAAATTTATGCTGATTTCAGAATTCTGCTTCAGGATTTTAATTTATGCCATTCCTGAGCCACTTTAAAGTGGTTATGCGTACTCATTAGTTTTCTGTATATTGTAATTGTTACTATACCTTAACTTTTTTCATCATCCTAAGATGATGTGGAAAGCAACTATTGGTTTTTCATGTAAGCCACATGCACAATTTTGGCGTTTTGATACCCTAGCCGCATCTATGATGGTGGCGTCATGGAAATCTTGCCTTTCCCCCAGTTATGTGCATACTTCACTTCTTATTTAGTAGTGTTGTATTTCGATACAAATCTTCCTGACCCATTTTGATTCGTGTACACTTCCATTTCTTACAGATATGCCATTTGTTAGAGGGTGTTGATCATAAGTTCATTGAGAAGTATGTCTTAGAGAAAGAATTGCTCTTCCTCACCAACTTCTCAGTAACTCCGAATTCTCATCGTGTGTCTGAAGTAATGCATTCATTTTCCAATGCACAAAGACTGACATTTGTAAGTAGTACTTGCTGAATGCATTGTTTTTTCCTCTTATTTCTCTTTTCCACTGTTCATAATAAAATGATTCATTTATCAGCTTGCATAAGTTTCTGTGCGCTACAACTTCAAATGGTCACAGGATAATCGCACAAGGGCATACAAGAAGATGGTTGATTTCAGAGGGAAAACGCATGAATTGTGTTTTCATGTTCTCGAGAGCCTTGGAGCTTCCAAGGTGAGAGCTGCAATGCCCAACTTTTCAGTTAGTGTCAGTGTAAATTTTTTCTAAATGGTTTCCTTAACACTGCAATTCTTGTTTGCAGATAAACCCCGACAGGTCAGCACAAAATGATCCTATTTACATTCTGCAAAAGAAGAGCGATGATGTCACCACCAACTCTTCAGGATTGAGATGGATCAAGGATGTTGTTCTTGGTAAGAGGAATGATCATTCATTCCGAATGGTGGTTGTTGGAGACCCAAGTCTTGAGCTTAGAGAAATTGGGATCCCTCGTGAAGTTGCAGAAAGATTGCAAATTTCTGAACATCTGACTGCATACAACTGGGAAAAGCTGTTAATCTGTTGCGAAGAACTCCTTCTTGAGAAGGGTTCAATCCATGTGAGAAGATCAAGTGGTCTTGTCCGCATTCATCGCACCAAGGACCTGAAAATCAATGACGTGATATATCGGCGTCTGAAAGATGGAGATACGGTCCTCATCAATAGGCCTCCTTCCATTCACCAGCATTCCCTAATTGCCCTCTCTGTCAAAATCCTTCCCGTGCCGTCAGCTCTGGCAATAAACCCACTCTGCTGTTCCCCACTTCGGGGTGATTTCGATGGTGACTGCTTGCATGGCTATGTTCCTCAATCAGTGAACACAAGGACTGAGCTCACCGAGCTTATTGCTTTAGATAAGCAGTTGACTAATGCACAGAGTGGTTCAAATCTGCTTTCTCTTGGTCAAGATAGTTTAACTGCGGCACACTTGGTGTTGGATGATGGAGTCTTTCTCAACAAGTTCCAGATTCAGCAGTTGCAGATGTTTTCTTCAAAGGAATTATCTTCTCCACTTTCTGATGGTGTTTGGACTGGCAAACAATTGATTAGCATGCTCTTGCCAAAAGGGTTTGACTATGATTTTCCATCAGATAATGCATCGATACGCGATGGCGAGATTGTTACTTGTGATGGATCTTTATGGTTACGCGACACAGAGGCAAACCTTTTTCAAAGCCTTGTTCAGTATTGCCCAGGCAATGTTCTTGATTTGTTGCATGCTGCTCAGAGAGTTCTCTGTGAATGGCTGTCAATGAGAGGTCTTAGTGTTTCACTCTCTGACTTTTACCTCTGTCCTGATTCCTACTCACGTGAAAGCATGATGGATGAGATTTCATATGGGATGAAAGAAGCAGAGAAGACATGCATCACAAGGCAGTTAATGGTTGACTCTTTTCAGGACTTCCTTACTGGTGAAGGGATTCGAGGTGTGTTTGATGCAGAGTGCTTGTTCCTTGAAAGACAGAGATCTGTTTCCCTCAGCCAAGCATCTGTTGATGCTTTCAAGCAAGTGTTTCGTGATATTCAAAATTTGGCCTTCAGATATTCCTCCAAGGAAAACTCATTATTGACCATGTTTAAGGCTGGAAGCAAAGGAAATCTACTGAAACTGGCCCAGCACAGCATCTCTCTTGGCTTGCAATCTTCTTTGGTTCCATTGTCTTTCAGAATGCCTCGTCAGCTTTCATGCGAAGCTTGGAATAGGTTTAGAGCCGATGAGGTTAATGAGTGTGCCAAGAGGTTTGTTCCATCTGCAATGGTCGAGGGTTGTTATCTCACTGGACTGAATCCCCTGGAATGCTTTGTTCATTCAGTGACAAGCAGAGAAAGCTCATTCAGTGATAATGCTGACCTTCCTGGAACTTTGACTCGAAGGCTTATGTTCTTCATGCGTGATATTTGTATTGCATATGATGGCACAGTGAGAAGTGCATATGGGAATCAGCTCGTACAATTCTCATACACAGGTCAAAAGGAAGATTCTAAGAGCACAATGAATTGTGATCCAATTGGAGGCCATCCCGTTGGTTCATTGACTGCTTCTGCCATCTCTGAAGCAGCATATAGTGCTCTCGATCAACCCATAAGTCTACTGCAAAAATCTCCTCTGCTAAATCTTAAGGTCCGCCCCGCCCCTCCTCTCTCTCTCTCTCTCTCTCTCTAATATGTTGTTGAACAGTACACACTGCGGTTTTTTGGAATTTTTCTGATACCTCAAGAGTGTTTAAATTGTGCAGAATGTACTAGAATGTGGTACCAAGAAGAGTAAATCCCAGAGAACTGCATCATTGTTCCTCTCTCCGAAACTTGGAAGAAGAAGATATGGGTTTGAATATGGAGCATTGAAAATTCAGAACCAGTTACAGAAAGTTCTTCTTTCTGACACTGTTTCCATTGCCAGGATCATGTATGATCCCGGAATTTCTCTTTTTCAGTTTCTTGTACGTTTTCTGTAGATTAGTCTGTTTCCTTAACTAATTTGACTATTTTGGGCATAAGCTATACTCCACACGGTGATGGCAAAGCCCATTCAAACCCTTGGGTTATCCATTTCCACTTGCTGAAGGTATTAGCTTTTAAATGCTTAATTCATTTTTCCCATTGAAAAGCACAGGCATGGATATTTCATATTTAATTTTTTTCCCGTTCAGGAAATCGTGAAGAAGAAAGGGCTACAGGCTGCATCGGTAGCCAACGCCCTTGCCAACCAGTGCTTATCAACACCTAAATTTCCCAAAATGGAGTTCAAGTGCAGGTATGCTGCTTGTTATCAACCACAAAAAAATCTGAAATGTAAGAGGACTTGTTGGATGGTGGCGTACCATCTAAAGTCCAAGTGAATATGATTGTTTTCCAAGTCTTAAGCAATCTGTAGGAGCCATGCTATAGTAAAATGTCGTGCAAATTCAAAGTTACGATAGTTTTTATTCTTCCTTGATCGAATTTTCAGGGGCTGCTGCTCTTTTGGTGATAACTGGAAGGAAAAGGAAGAAACTTTTTGCATAACAGCCACGGTGGTTGACAGTTCTAAAAGATTGTCCACCAAGTTGGAAACTATTCAAGATATGGTGGTTCCTTCTCTTCTCAGAACACCTGTTAGAGGTTGGTGGCTTCTAATATTGAAACCTCTGTCTTTTGTTTTGCATTAATGACCTTTTATACGGGACTTCTTATTGTTGATCTTCAGTCACATAGTCAATTACATTTTTTTGCTGCAGTTACGCTAGATATATGTATTGGCTTTCACTTACTCTTTTTTGCTTTTCATGGGGCTAGGATCCACTGAGATTGATAAGGTGGATATTCTTTGGAACAATAGGCCAAAAGTACAAAAATCTGGTAAAGCTCCTTCCGGCGAGCTCTACTTGAGAGTTGCTTTATCTGGAATAACAGATACATCAAAACTGTGGGGCCAACTTCTGTACAGTTGTCTCCCCATAATGGATATGATCGACTGGACAAGAAGTCATCCCGACAACATAAGAGATCTATCTTCTGCTTATGGTGTGGATGCTGGTTGGAAAGTTTTTCTCAATGTGAGTTGGTCATATTGATCATAAAAAGTCGGTCTCTGTATATTGTTCTCTGGAGATTAACTGCTGACCTGATGATGTATGAAACTACACAGAACCTGGAGTCTGCAGTTGCTGATGTTGGCAAGACTGTACTTCCACAGCATTTGCTTCTGCTGGCAAACACAATGTCGGTTACTGGAGAATTTGTTGCTCTAAATGGAAAAGGGTTGAGACTACAGAGGGAGCACTCAAAGATTTCGACCCCATTTATGCAAGCCAGCTTTAGTGTTAGTCATCCTCATCATATGAAAAAGTTCCAGTCTTTATGGTATGTTCATTACTTTTGCCAAAAACTTAATTGTGGTCTTTTTCTTCCCCAAAAATTGATGCAGAACCCTGGAGATAACTTTATTCGGGCTGCTAAGATGGGTGTCACTGATCAGCTAATGGGTCCACTGGATGATCTTGCTTGGGGAAAGATGCCTGCTATCGGCACTGGCAAGTTTGACATCTTGTTTTCTCAGAAGGTAGGCTGCAAGAAATATCTATCTATCTTCAAACAGTGCTTCCAATTGATCAAATTTCTGCTTTCTCTTTTCCTCACTGTCTTATTTGATTTGATCAGGGTGAAATGTCGAAGCCAGCGAATCCATACGAGTTCCTTGCTGCAAACAAGACGTCTGAAACCCCTAGGCCGACCAAGTTTGAGATCCCAGGTTCATGGAGCAGTAGATTTGAGAAATATGGCAAAGAGCTTCCATTGAGATTCAACAAGGGCTCCAGAAAATTCAGCATAGCGAAGTCCCTGCGTAGTCATACCTCGTACGATGACATTCTGAATCTCAGCTCTGATCTCCGCAAACTCTTAAATAGGTAGAAGTTCAGAATTCAACAATCTGCTTCTGTTAGTTCATCCTTTTTAAGCTCGAATGCAGAAATGGATGGTCAGAGGTCTCAAGAAAGCCATCTGAGTTTGTTCCTCTTGATGCAGCTCTCCTGTGGACGAGGAGCTAGGTGAGCGGGACAAAGTCAAACTGATGCAAGCGTTATACTTCCACCCTCGAAAAGACGAGAAGCTTGGAGACGGAGCTCAGTACTTCAAGGTAATGTGTCTAAAAGTTCCAAGCAAGAACCAATGTTCAGCGGGGCAATTATGATTACTAAGTTGTGGGCATATGATTTGGCAGGTGATAAACCACCCGAAGCACGAAGGGTCTCGATGCTTCTCGGTGGTTAGAAGCGACGGGACAATGGAGGACTTCTCTTACCATAAGTGCATCCTTGCGGCGCTCGATGTCATAGCTCCTGGGAAAGCCTCCATCTATCAACGCAGGCATTTGCAGAGGCTGGGAGATAATGGTGTAGACCCGGTTGCATAAAACCAACCAGCAGCAAGAAATCCCAATGTAGTGTAGTGCATAGTAGGCAGGCTCTGAACAGTTTGCTGTCTCTGCGCTTTTGTTGTAACCTTTTTTGTTGAGTTTGGATGCTTCTTCTTTTGGGGGGTTAGAGTATTAGAGAGGGATTGTTCGAGAGACAATCCTCTCCCTGAGCTTTTTTTTGCTCCTTCTACTACTTCCTTTGCCCTTTATGTGTGGCATTTGATTGAAGATGAATCAATTTCATTCTCAATCAAAGCGCCATGGAGTAAAAAGGCGGAGAAGTCTAGTGGAAGCAGCAACGAAAAGCTTGCGTGGAGTGTAGTCAGTCACCATTCATTTCTCAAAATGTTGTAGTCTCTCATAAAGTGTAGTGTAGTAGTCGTTTCTGTCTGTTGAAAAGCTGCAGACAGTAGGGAAAACATGTTCTATGTGACATTGGATGATGAAGAAGAAGAACATGAACAGAAAACTGTTGGTAGAAGAATGTTCTCTAGTTACTTCTTCGATTGCGAGATGTTTTGTTTTGAGTTCTCCTGAGGAGTGTCTGGCATTCGAGTAGTTCTCTAATTTATTTAACACTTAAACAATAAGAAAATTAACTCACAAGTTCATAGAATTGTAGCACAATAGCTCACATATTTTTTATTCCTCACTTGCTACAAAACCCCTGGACAAGATATTTTAGAATTGCTCTAACACCTAAACATGTCTAAACATAAGTTTAATTGTAACTTTTTGAACAATAGGTCTAAATAACAAAACTGGCTAAACTCATGTGCTAGTCTGAAAGTATATATATTCAATATTTTTGTGATTTTGGAGAGTTGCAAGCAGGTTGCTGTGGAGGTGTGAGCCATTATTATTAGGTACCGGTTACTATGACAACACTCCTTGTGTTGTTATTGTAACAACACTAGTCTCCAATTAATAGGAAGCTAGGATAGTGATGACTTTTTATTAGATGAGTTGACCTAGTGTAAAATCAAAGCAGAGGTATAATTGTCATTATGAAAAATCTGTTTAAATAATAAAAAATAAAAAAATAAAAAAATATTTTTTTTATTTTCTATCCAAAAATTTGGTCGCCGGAATTCTGCCACCGGTCGCCGGAAAGTGGTCGTCGGTCACCGAAATATGCTTTTTGTCGCCAGAATATGCTATTTGTCGCTGGAATATACTTACCGGCGTCGGAATCTAGTTATCGGGGCCGGAATATGCCTATCGGCGTCGGAATCTGCTCACTGACGGTCACCGGAGTTCGGTCAACGACCACCGGATGTATGGTCTACATTGTGAGATTTATGGTTTGGTTTCTCATATTTTCGTATGCCTTTTGTGGTTTGCTTTATCGTGTTTGTGGTTTGCATTGAGAAGTTTCTGGTTTGCTTTCAAAAATTTTGTGGTTTGCATTGAGGGGTTTCTCGTTTGTTTTAATATATTTGTGGTCTGCATTAGGACGTTTATGGTTTGCTTTTTTGTGGTTTGATTTACTGTGTTTGTGGTTTGCATTAGGAGGTTTCTAGTGTGCGTCGCAAATGTTGTGGTTTGCTTTATGAGGTTTGTGGTTTGTTTTAGGAGATTTGTGGTATGCATTCGGAGGTTTCTGGTTTGCTTTATTGTGTTTCTGGTTTGCATTAAGAAGTTTATGGCGTGCTTTCGAAAATTTTATGGTTTGATTTGTGGGGTTTTTGGTTTGTTTTAATATATTTGTGGTATGCATTAGGAGGTTTGTGGTTTGCTTTATCGTGTTTGTAGTTTGTATTATGAGATTTCTGGTGTGCTTTCGGAATATTTATGGTATGTTTTGTGGGTTTTTGGTTTGTTTTAGGGGATTTGTGATATGGATTGGGAGGTTTCTGGTACGCTTTTTGTGGATTTTTGCAATTCAAAGCTATGGTTTGCAATTCAACGTTAGGAAACCCCAACCCACCAAAATTTATTGGCAGTTTTCATTGATCCCACAGCCACAGGCGCCCTAAAGAGAGAGCCAAAATAGATCGGTTGACTAGCCCAGCCGAGTAAAGGGGGGAGCTGATGGGTTTGGCTTGGTAGAAGCCAATGTTTTGGGCGGGAGAAAGGGAACAAAGGGGCCCAACAAATGATTAAAATGGGGAAAGAAGCTCATAAAGTGGCTTCTGCGGGTCCACCAAGAAAAAAGTAGAGAAAAAGAGAATTAATTGGAAAGAGGAGAGAAGTGACAAAAAATATAAAGAAAAATGAGAAATAATTGGAGAGAGGAGGGAAGTGACAGAAAATGAAAAGAAAAAAAGGGAAAAGTAATTGCAAAGAAGAGAGAAGTGACGAAAAAGTGGGGAAATTTTTATTTTTGTGGTAAGATATTATGTGGTAAGATATTAGTCTGGGCAGTATGGATTTTTATTTTTGCATGAATTGATATTATATGCAGTGGATATGAGTTTGTGAAGTAATGAATATTGTGTCTTCCATCAAAACTAAACACACTATCAAGTCCTAACACATAAGGCTTGCAACCTTAGTTAGGGCTGCCCGCCGAGGGCCCATGGGCCGAAGGCCTATGAAACAATAATAGTAGGAGAGTGAAGGTTTAGGGTTTATGATTTAGTGATTAGTCTGGTAGTCGGATATTAAACTGGGTGGTGTTTGTACTTGTTTTTGCAAAGAATGTGTATTAGTTTAGGTGGTTCGGATATTAGCTTTGGTTTGAATTGATATTAGTTCATGTTTTCAACTATTTGTCTGGGATGTTTGGATATTTGTTTTCTCATTAACTGATATTAGTCTGTTGATATTAGTTCATTAGCCAATTTAATTACTTTTGGTATTAGTTTGCGATTGTCAGATATTAATCTATGTGTGGCGGGTATTAGTCTGCGATGGTCAGATATTAGTCTGTGTGTGGTGGGTATTAGTCTTTATAGTTAGGATATTATTTACGACCTGAATGTATATTTGTCTTAGGCGTTGGGATATTAGTCCGGGTGTTGTGGATATTTGTTATGGTGAACGGATATTATTTTGGGTGGTTTGGATTTGTTTTGTGTGAATGTTTACCTATGTTTGTATTGAAATTTAGTTTAATTAGCGATTAAGGTTTGGAGTTTATGTGTAATTGGTATTAGTTTGTGATGTTCAGATATGAATCTGTATGTAGTGGGTATTAGTTTTCGGTGGTAAGATATTAATCTGTGTGTGGTGGGTATTAGTCTGCTACGGTCCGATAATAGTCTGGGTGGTTTGGATCTTTGTTGTATATGCTTATATCAATTTAGGGTTTGGTGTAAGGGTTTAGGATTTAGAATTAGGGTTTACAATTTAGAGTTTGGAGTTTAGGGTTTAGGATTCGCATTTGGGGTTTAGGGGGTTGGGGTTTAGGGTTCAGGGTTGGGGGTTGAGGTTTAGAGTTTAGGGTTCAAGCTTTGTGTTAGTGTTTAGGGTTAGGGTTTCAGGTACATGGTTCGAGTTTTGGTTTCAGGTTTAGAAGACAATAATGTGGAAATGGTTTTGAACACAATGTAGGGTGGTTCGATTTTTGTCTGTGGTGATAAGATATTATTATGTGATTGGAGGATATTAGTATGAGATGTGTGGATATGTTGGCTGTGTAGTCGGATATTAGTCTAAGACAGTTAGAAATTAGTCTTTGAGCGATGGATATTAGTTTGTATGGGTGAGGATATTTATTATGTGAGGAACGGATATTGGTATGGGTGGTGTGGATATTGTTTTTACTGTGTAGGGATATTGGTCTGCTATGGTTTTCTAGTACGCAAAACTAGTGAGAACACTCGATACAATTAGTAGTCAAAGTCATTCCGACATGGCGATTATAACTTTCCAAACAAAAAATAGTACTTTAAGAAAATTCTTTGTTCAAGTGTGGGATTGCTGTTCCAAAATGTCGATCATCTTTTGGATTTTTTCCCGTCTCGATAATATCTTGACCTCACAGGGATTAAATGTGTTTAATTGATTACTAAATGTGGGTAATTGATTAAATGTGTTTAATTGATGACTAAAGGGAAAAACAAACCGATGAATCGTGAAGAGGCAAAGAGATCGAGGATATTAGTCTGGGCTTTCAGGATATACTTTGGCACACAAAAAGTATTAGTCTGAGCTTTAAGGATATTATTCTACATAAAGACGGATATTTTTCTCGGAGGCTACGGTATATTTTTGAATAATAATTTATGTTGGTAATTATATCCAACATTTGACAAAATATTATCCATCTTGCTACAAACCAACATCCTTCCCTAAATATTATCTAACCCTAAGTTCAGTTTTACAAACCAATATCACACTACACAAATCTAAAATAAACTTTTCTTCCTTTTCCCTCATCGTCTTGGTCATCACTTTCTTCATCCTCAATTTCTTGGTCCTCATTTTGTTGTTGTTGTTTGGCACATTTAGGCCTAAAGGTTTCGCCTTCTGATGTGGTCCTCATTGCAGTTGATTTAGTTCTTGTCATTGCAGCTGGACTTCACATAACGAATACCCCAACCATCAGAAGTAATATCAAACAAGTCATATCTAAATATATCAAGCAACTATCCAGGCAATTCACAAATGATATCGTGGTCGACCAAAACCAATATCAATGTAGGAATATCCAGATATATCAAACAACTATCCAAGCAATTAAAAACTGATATCCTGCCCGAATAGAACTAATATCGGAACGCACACAAAACATATCCAAAAAACAAAGCAACCCAGATCCAATCAAATCCACAAAATCCACAAACAAAGCAACCCAGACCCAGATCCAGTCACATCGACAAACCCAGAAAACATATCCACATAATCCAAATATATCAAACAACTATCTAGGCAATTCACAAATGATATCATGGTCGACCAAAACCAATATCAATGTAGAAATATCCAGATATATCAAACAACTATCCAGGCAATAAAAAACTGATATCCTGCCCGAACAGAACTAATATCGGAACGCACACAAAACATATCCACAAAACCCAGAAAACAAAGCTACCCAGACCTAGATCCAGTCACATCCACAAACCCAGAAAACATATCCACATAATCCAAAAAAACACATCCACAAACCCAGAAAACATATCCACATAATCCAGAAAACACATCCACAAACCCAGAAACATATCCACATAATCCACAAAAGAAAGCAACCCAGATCCAGTCAAATCTAAGTTACCAGAAAACAAATCCATCAAACTCATACAAAAAACGCAGAAAAAGAAAAACCCAGATCTAGTTGAATCCATGAAACCCTAACTTCAAACACTACTTATTTCTTTGAAACACAAAATCAGAATCCAAGAAACAAAATCAAAAGAAAAATAGAACAATCTTCAGAAACTCGATTGAATCACAATAAGCAAGGTGAAGAATGAAATAGAGAAGAGAGAGAGAGAGAGAGAGAGAGAGAGAGAGAGAGAGAGATGTGGGGGGGGGGGGGGGGGGAACACGGTTACCGTCATCTTCTTCCTTCAAGCACAGCCACCGTCGCCGACAACTTCTTCCTTGTCGCGATACCGTCGTCGCCGTCGTTTTCACAGTCGCCGTCGTCTGCTTTGTTAGAGTCGGAGAGTGGTTCTGGTGATTATTGGGAGAAAAGGGGAGGAGGAAACAAAAAAGTTTTTGAGGAGAGAAAATGAAAACTAACGAAGTGATTTGAAGAGAGAAGGAGACTAAGAAAAGGCAGCCATTTTTTTGAATTTGTGGGCCCCCTTTGGATAGTGGAATTAGGGCAGCCGATGGACTCGGCTCTCTTCCTCTCACAAGTCGGCGCCAATCCTCCTCCACCGTCCGATCCGGCTCGACGACGTGGCCATCTATCCTACCCTGTCAGTATCTCCTAACAAAATGGCATGTTAAGAGCATAACTAGATTGGTCTTCAAGGACCAATCCACCCAATCTGAACTTCGTCTTCCTCGGATTCGCCTTGTTCTGCTCCATCGCGTCGGTCGGAGTCACGTAGAACACCATTTGGTCCTGGAAATTGTTCAGGACGATGACGATGAACCCGGCCACGCAGCTGAACGCGAGCGCGTAGGTCCACAGCCGCCTGGTCTGCATCTGGCGAGCTCGGGCTCCGATGTCCACTTCGGTTGAAAGTGCAATTTCTCATTGCACCGATGGCCAATGAGGGGAAGGGAGGATGCGTTGGAATCGTGTGACCGAGAGGAACGCCATAGAGTTGGAATTTGCAAGAAAAAAGGTATCTAAAGAAATTTCATTTTTTCACCAAATAGGCTCGTGGGCTCACGAAAAGTTCGGTTTAAAGTGCAATTTCTCATTGCACCGATGGCTAACGAGGGGAAGGGAGGTTGCGCTGGAATCGTGTGACCGTGAGGAACGCCATAGAGTTGGAATTTGCAAGAAAAAAGGTCTCTAAAGAAATTTCATTTTTTCACCAAATAGGCTTGTGGGCTCACGAAAAGTTCGGTTTAAAGTGCAATATCTCATTGCACCGATGGCCAACGAGGGGAAGGGAGGTTGTGTTGGAATCGTGTGACCATGAGGAACGCCATAGAGTTCGAATTTTCAAGAAAAAAGATCTCTAAAGAAATTTCATTTTTTCACCAAATAGGCTTGTGGGCTCACGAAAAGTTCGGTTTATAATGCAATTTCTCATTGCACCGATGGCCAACGAGGGGAAGGGCGGTTGTGTTGGAATCGTGTGACCGTGAGGAACGCCATAGGGTGGGAATTTGCAAGAAAAAAGGTCTCTAAAGAAATTTCATTTTTTCACCAAATATGCTTGTGGGCTCACGAAAAGTTCGGTTTGAAGTGCAATATCTCATTGCACCGATGGCCAACGAGGGGAAGGGAGGTTGCGTTGGAATCGTGTGACCGTGAGGAACGCCATAGAGTTGGAATTTGCAAAGAAAAAGGTCTCTAAAGAAATTTCATTTTTTCACCAAATAGTCTTGTGGGTTTACGAAAAGTTCGGTTTAAAGTGCAATTTCTCATTGCACCGATGGCCAACGAGGGGAAGGGAGGTTGTGTTGGAATCGTGTGACCGAGAGGAACGCCATAGAGTTGGAATTTGCAAGAAAAAAGGTCTCTAAAGAAATTTCATTTTTTCACCAAATAGGCTTGTGGGCTCACGAAAAGTTCGGTTTAAAGTGCAATTTCTCATTGCACCGATGGCCAACGAGGGGAAGGGAGGTTGCGTTGGAATCGTGTGACCGAAAGGAACGCCATAGAGTTGGAATTTGCAAGAAAAAAGGTCTCTAAAGAAATTTCATTTTTTCACCAAATAGGCTTGTTGGCTCACGAAAAGTTCGGTTTGAAGTGCAATATCTCATTGCACCGATGGCCAACGAGGGGAAGGGAGGTTGCGTTGGAATCATGTGACCGTGAGGAACGCCATAGAGTTGGAATTTGCAAGAAAAAAGGTCTCTAAAGAAATTTCATTTTTTCACCAAATAGGCTTGTTGTCTCACGAAAAGTTCGGTTTGAAGTGCAATATCTCATTGCACCGATGGCCAACGAGGGGAAGGGAAGTTGCGTTGGAATCATGTGACCGTGAGGAACGCCATAGAGTTGGAATTTGCAAGAAAAAAGGTCTCTAAAGAAATTTCATTTTTTCACCAAATAGGCTTGTTGGCTCACGAAAAGTTCGGTTTGAAGTGCAATATCTCATTGCACCGATGGCCAACGAGGGGAAGGGAGGTTGCGTTGGAATTGTGTGACGCAGAGGAACGCCATAGAGTTGGAATTTGCAAGAAAAAAGGTCTCTAAAGAAATTTCACTTTTTTCACCAAATAGGCTTGTGGGCTCACGAAAAGTTCGGTTTAAAGTGCAATTTCTCATTGCACCGATGGCCAATGAGGGGAAGGGAGGATGCGTTGGAATCGTGTGACCGAGAGGAACGCCATAGAGTTTGAATTTGCAAGAAAAAAGGTCTCTAAAGAAATTTCATTTTTTCACCAAATAGGCTTGTGGGCTAACGAAAAGTTCGGTTAAAAGTGCAATTTCTCATTGCACCGATGGCCAATGAGGGGAAGGGAGGTTGCGTTGAAATCGTGTGACCGAGAGGAACGCCATAGAGTTTGAATTTGCACGAAAAAAGGTCTCTAAAGAAATTTCATTTTTTCACCAAATAGGCTTGTGGGCTCACGAAAAGTTCGGTTTAAAGTGCAATTTCTCATTGCACCGATGGCCAATGAGGGGAAGGGAGGTTGCGTTGGAATCGTGTGACCGAGAGGAACGCCATAGAGTTGGAATTTTCAAGAAAAAAGGTCTCTAAAGAAATTTCATTTTTTCACCAAATAGGCTTGTGGACTCACGAAAAGTTCGGTTTAAAGTGCAATTTCTCATTGCACCGATGGCCAACGAGGGGAAGGGAGGTTGCGTTGGAATCGTGTGACCGAGAGGAACGCCATAGAGTTGGAATTTGCAAGAAAAAAGGTCTCTAAATAAATTTCATTTTTTCACCAAATAGGTTTGTGGACTCATGAAAAGTTCGGTTAAAAGTGCAATTTCTCATTGCACCGATGGCCAACGAGGGGAAGGGAGGTTGCGTTGGAATCGTGTGACCGAGAGGAACGCCATAGAGTTGGAATTTGCAAGAAAAAAGGTCTCTAAAGAAATTTCATTTTTTCACCAAATAGGCTTGTGGGCTAACGAAAAGTTCGGTTTAAAGTGCAATTTCTCATTGCACCGATGGCCAACGAGGGGAAGGGAGGTTGCGTTGGAATCGTGTGACCGAGAGAAACGCCATAGAGTTGGAATTTGTAAGAAAAAAGGTCTCTAAAGAAATTTCACTTTTTTCACCAAATAGGCTTGTGGGCTCACGAAAAGTTCGGTTTAAAGTGCAATTTCTCATTGCACCGATGTCCAACGAGAGGAAGGGAGGTTGCGTTGGAATCGTGTGACCGAGAGGAACGCCATAGAGTTGGAATTTGCAAGAAAAAAGGTCTCTAAAGAATTTTCATTTTTTCACCAAATATGCTTGTGGGCTAACGAAATGTTCGGTTTAAAGTGCAATTTCTCATTGCACCGATGGCCAATGAGGGGAAGAGAGGTTGCGTTGGAATCGTGTGACCGAGAGGAACACCATGGAGTAGGAATTTTGAAGAAAAAAGGTATCTAAATAAATTTCATTTTTTCACCAAATAGGCTTGTGGACTCACGAAAAGTTCGGTTTAAAGTGCAATTTCTCATTGCACCGATGGCCAACGAGGGGAAGGGAGGTTGCGTTGGAATCGTGTGACCGAGAGGAACGCCATAGAGTTGGAATTTGCAAGAAAAAAGGTCTCTAATGAAATTTCATTTTTTCACCAAATAGGCTTGTGGGCTAACGAAAAGTTCGGTTAAAAGTGCAATTTCTCATTGCACCGATGGCCAATGAGGGGAAGGGAGGTTGCGTTGGAATCGTGTGACCGAGAGGAACGCCATAGAGTTGGAATTTTCAAGAAAAAAGGTCTCTAAAGAAATTTCATTTTTTCACCAAATAGGCTTGTGGACTCACGAAAAGTTCGGTTTAAAGTGCAATTTCTCATTGCACCGATGGCCAACGAGGGGAAGGGAGGTTGCGTTGGAATCGTGTGACCGAGAGGAACGCCATAGAGTTGGAATTTGCAAGAAAAAAGGTCTCTACATAAATTTCATTTTTTCACCAAATAGGCTAGTGGGCTCACGAAAAGTTCGATTTAAAGTGCAATTTCTCATTGCACCGATCTCCAATGAGAGGAAGGGAGGTTGCGTTGGAATCGTGTGACCGAGAGGAACGCCATAGAGTTGAAATTTGCAAGAAAAAAGGTCTCTACAGAAATTTCATTTTTTCACCAAATAGGCTTGTGGGCTCACGAAAAGTTCGATTCAAAGTGCAATTTCTCATTGCACCGATGGCCAACGAGGGGAAGGGAGGTTGCGTTGGAATCGTGTGACCGAGAGGAACGCCATAGAGTTGGAATTTGCAAGAAAAAAGGTCTCTAAAGAAATTTCACTTTTTTCACTAAATAGGCTTGTGGGCTCACGAAAAGTTCGGTTTAAAGTGCAATTTCTCATTGCACCGATGGCCAATGAGGGGAAGGGAGGTTGCGTTGGAATCGTGTGACCGAGAGGAACGCCATAGAGTTGGAATTTGCAAGAAAAAAGGTCTCTAAAGAAATTTCATTTTTTCACCAAATAGGCTTGTGGGCTAACGAAAAGTTCGGTTTAAAGTGCAATTTCTCATTGCACCGATGGCCAACGAGGGGAAGGGAGGTTGCGTTGGAATCGTGTGACCGAGAGGAACGCCATAGAGTTGGAATTTGTAAGAAAAAAGGTCTCTAAAGAAATTTCACTTTTTTCACCAAATAGGCTTGTGGGCTCACGAAAAGTTCGGTTTAAAGTGCAATTTCTCATTGCACCGATGTCCAACGAGAGGAAGGGAGGTTGCGTTGGAATCGTGTGACCGAGAGGAACGCCATAGAGTTGGAATTTGCAAGAAAAAAGGTCTCTAAAGAAATTTCATTTTTTCACCAAATAGGCTTGTGGGCTCACGAAAAGTTCGGTTAAAAGTGTAATTTCTCAATGCACCGATGGCCAATGAGGGGAAGGGAGGTTGCGTTGGAATCGTGTGACCGAGAGGAACGCCATAGAGTTGGAATTTGCAAGAAAAAAGGTCTCTAAAGAAATTTCACTTTTTTCACCAAATAGGCTTGTGGGCTCACGAAAAGTTCGGTTTAAAGTGCAATTTCTCATTGCACCGATGGCCAATGAGGGGAAGGGAGGTTGCGTTGGAATCGTGTGACCGAGAGGAACGCCGTAGAGTTGGAATTTGCAAGAAAAAAGGTTTCTAAAGAAATTTCATTTTTTCACCAAATAGGCTTGTGTGCTCTCGAAAAGTTCGGTTAAAAGTGCAATTTCTCATTGCACCGATGGCCAACGAGGGGAAGGGAGGTTGCGTTGGAATCGTGTGACCGAGAGGAACGCCATAGAGTTGGAATTTGCAAGAAAAAAGGTCTCTAAAGAATTTTCATTTTTTCACCAAATATGCTTGTGGGCTAACGAAAAGTTCGGTTTAAAGTGCAATTTCTCATTGCACCGATGGCCAACGAGGGGAAGGGAGGTTGCGTTGGAATCGTGTGACCGAGAGGAACGCCATAGAGTTGGAATTTGTAAGAAAAAAGGTCTCTAAAGAAATTTCACTTTTTTCACCAAATAGGCTTGTGGGCTCACGAAAAGTTCGGTTTAAAGTGCAATTTCTCATTGCACCGATGTCCAACGAGAGGAAGGGAGGTTGCGTTGGAATCGTGTGACCGAGAGGAACGCCATAGAGTTGGAATTTGCAAGAAAAAAGGTCTCTAAAGAAATTTCATTTTTTCACCAAAT